CCTGGCCATACTACTAGGAGCAAGGACGCTACTAGACACTCCTGGGGGCTCCTGGCGATACTACTAGGAGCAAGGACGCTACTAGGGGCTCCTGGCCATACCACTAGGAGCAAGGACGCTGGAGCAAGGACGCTGCTAGGGGCTCCTGGCCATACTACTAGGAGCAAGGACTCTACTAGGGGCTCCTGGCATCGCTACTAGGAGCAAGGACGCTACTAGGGGCTCCTGGCCTTACTACTAGGAACAAGGACGCTACTAGGGGTGGCCATACTACTAGGAGCAAGGACGCTACTAGGGGCTCCTGGCATTGCTACTAGGAGCAAGGACGCTACTAGGGGCTCCTGGCCTTACTACTAGGAACAAGGACGCTACTAGGGGCTCCTGACATCGCTACTAGGAACAAGGACGCTACTAGGGGCTTCTGGCCATACTACTAGGAGCAAGGACGCTACTAGGGGCTCCTGGGCTCACCATGCTCACCTCGAAATGGATCGTCCAAGGAACGGCTTGCACTCGGGTTGTCCGGTGGAGGATGGCCAAAAGTGGTCTGCTAACTACTGGGTTTGGAACAAGCCACGCTCCTTTGAGATTAGCATGCCTGATGCAGAGGTGGACGATGAATACAGCGGTCACGTGGCGCGAAGTGATGGGGTTCAGGGCTGTTCAGGGCCCAGCTCTTTGGTGTTTTAATTCAACTTTTTTTGGGGCCCCATTCGTAAACCCAATTATAAAGCAATAAGCGTTCTCAGTTCTTGACACCCAACTTCCATCTCAGGATGGGTGTTTCTCAGTAGAGTCACTTCAGCGCATTCAGACAGGTTTCGTGTGATTCTTTTGCTTTCACTGGTTTTGAACGAACACCATCGCATCCTGCACAACCATACCAGGTGAGATGTCGGTCGCCACCGAAGAGGTGCAGGCAGCCAATAACATCACTGTGGTCTTTGACAACCGGCACTCGTATCCAATGTATTTGCAGATCACTCAGTCAGCAGTATGCTTTACACAGCGAAAGCTACATGGATAGATTGTAAGTGCTTTGGAGCTGGACTGAGCAGGGCCCTTTGCGGAGTGAGGATGACTCTCAGCACCTGAGGTTTTGGAAGCCACCTGACAGAGACCAAGAGGCTTTCATGGGAGTGGTCAAGCCCAAGGACTCGTTCCAGATATCTGGCAGATGATGGCAGCCAGTTACAGGGGTTAAAGTTAAAGTGAGTATTATGGGGGGTAGTTGCGTGGTTGCTATTTTTCAGAGCCTGCTGGGGCAGAGCAAAAAATTGGGTGATCATGGGTGATCCAATTATGCCACTGACCGCCTTGGTGATGTGAGTGATGCCACATCAGCTGCCTTTTTGTTGTTGGTGCCCTTTCGCATTTGCGAAAAGCGGGTTCTAGCAGCAAGACTCTTAACAAATCAGGGCCAGGCAGATGTATATAAACCGGACCCGCCTAGCAGACCAACGAGACTTGAGTTCCAAGGTTTGCGAGGACTGGCTTCGTGCTTCGTCCCGTCATTTCTCGGGTTTCTTATCGTCCCGAGCCGGGCCTGATTGCAACTGTTTGTTTGGAACTCAGGAACCCGGGAGCCTGGTTTCGCCTGGCTTTCCAGCACACTGTTGCTGGACTCCTCGTTGATGGTTTAGCTTAACTTGCATTTGTAGTCCTGTTCGTGGTTATAGCCGCAGAAGTATGCCTCGAGAGTTTTTCGAAAGTGCCGCTTACACTGGTGCCAGGGAGGGGCCGAACTTGTTCTGCAACAGGTCATTTCCCCTTGGAGAAGCCTTGCTGTGGAGCCATGAGGTTCAATTGCAACTTTTGGCTTGCAACCCCGGAACTCTCTGCAACCAGATGGAGCCACCCTGCTTACTTTTTGCTCAGAACCCTGGAGCCAGGCCCTCATCGCAATTTGTTGGTAAAAAACAAAGAAACCCCGGAACTCTGGAACCAGGTTCCTCCCTGGAACCCTGCAACCAGATCCTGATCATAGTGTTTTGTGTTTGCTGGAGCTGTTCGCTGATCCAGTCACATTGTATTGCTTGCTTGCTTACTTGCATTCAGGATCCAGGTAATATTTAAAAGAGACTGAGCGACTGCATAAGTACGCCTTGTTCTTGTTATTTTGCTATTTGCGAGTGGGAATGCATCCAATTCCACGGGGAGACCATGATGTCCAGAGCCCAAATGTTCAATTTTGGGAAGCACCTGGCTTTTGGTGGGTTGGCCTCTTGCCCGCTTGCCTTTGATGGGAAGGAGAGCATCAGCATGCTGACATTCCCTGGTCACGTTTGGCACCTTCGTGCGGGAGCAGACCAGTCGAGTCAGCTCATCGGTGCTCAGGTGGGCTCGGGGGACCCTTTGCAGGGGGATTGTTGGTGTTGGGGGGTGATGGCCCCAACAACTGCCACCATGGCTGTTATCCTATCTATAACCTTCATTCATCACGAAAGGTAGCCCTTCAGGGGATACCTTGAGTTTGTCTTGCGAAGCAAGTGTTGGGACGTCCGGGTCTAATAATTGATCGCTCAATTCAGACCCCCCCCCACCCCCACCCCCCTCGAATTGATTTTTCAAAACAACCCCCCCCCCCCCCCCCCCTCTAAAATCAATTCTCTCCTGGAGAACGTCTTCGTGAGCCTCTCATGATTTCAGGATAGTTGAAACCCTCTTGAACATTTTAGAAAGAGTGAATATGAAATTCTAATCACGAAAGGTGTTCCCCGAGGGGATACATACCTAGAGTTTGTTTTGTGAAGCACGTCAATTCTCTCCTGGGGAGCGTCTTCGTGAGCCTCTTATGGTTTCAGGACAAATCCTATGATGTTCCGATTCAATGCTCACCGATGATCTGAGCCATGGGGCAAGTTTGTTTTCCTAAGAACCTTTTTGAACATTTCGAGAGCATATGTTTGAACATTTAGAGTGCATATGAACATATATTTACGAAAGGTCGCCTCCGAGGGGATAAATCACCATGTCGAACATTGCATTTTTGTTCCTGCCTCTCGCGTTCTCTTCTCTTCCCGCTGTCCTACCTTTCGTGTCTCCCTCCTCTCAAGTTAACATTCTATAACAAGCGCGTCTGCAACTTATTCGACCTAACCCAAAGCCCAAGTTTCCAGCCCACTCACTCAGAGCGCTGAACCAATCAGTCAGGTTTTTGTTCTTCCAGTTGCGCATCCCCTCAATGTTCCACAAAACTATGGGGAGCCCATCGTTGACAGATCAATCAATCAGTCAAGCGGCCAGTTTGCCATATCACAAAAGCTGCTTTAGAATTGGCAAGGGTAGCTCGTGAACCCACCGCCTGATTTTTTGAACCCAACGCCTGATCTTTTAGGATTTAGACCTCCCCTGGTTGCCGGGCACAACTTCATCCTGGTCCGTCCTGGTCAAGTGCGGAATTGACTCTGTCGGTTTGAACCAGCTGTGACGCACAAAGCGCAACCTGAAAAAGCATCCTTTCAGCAAGGGTCAGAATAGAAACCACTACTACTTGCAGTGGCAGTGTTTACTTCAACCAATGCAAGGACGCTACTTACTAGGGGCTCCTGGCATCGCTGCTAGGAGCAAAGACGCTACTAGGGGCTCCTGGCATCGGTACTAGGAGCAAGGACGCTACTAGGGGCTCCTGGCAAAAAAGACCTTTCATGACCCATGACCCGTCTAGACCCACCACGTGACCACCGTGCTTCTCTTTATCCTGCCAGCACTTCACCAGCCGCCAGCTTATGTATATTGCCAATATTGCATATACCTTTCCCTTTGTTGTGCCAGATGCGCTTCGATCTCCTGACCTGCCTACATCTAGCTATTCTGGTTGCCTCTCCTTCGAGACACCAGGTGGCCTTTCAAATGTGGTCAATGTGGTTCTTTTTGGGACACTGTTGGACATCGGCAGACCAACCTGTTCCACCTAATTGGTTTGATCTAAGTATTATGTAATTGATGTAAACTTACCATTGCATATGTTGCATACTTCGGACACTTCTTGCCGGTGCGACTTGACCATCAAGAGATCCCAATACTCGGGTAGAATGCTTATCGCCACAAGCCCAGATACTCCGCAAAGAAAGTCATTTCTAAAAGACGCAGGTCGAAATTGTTCGTCAGGTGGTGCCAGCTGTACAAAAGCCGATGAACCATATAGACTTATTCATTCCTTCTTCTGCGGCACAGCAAGGGGCAACAAGCTTGAGATTGCTGAGTTTTGAATATTCACATGTTGGGGGCTTTTCCTGGCGACAGTGGTTGCCCAATGCGCAAGATGTTGCCAATATTCCCACGAAATACCAGCAAGCACAACAATACCGTGCTCCATACCAGCCCATGGAGGGCATACTGTGATGTACCATGCAGTTGACCGCCAGAAGTCGTTTCTCTGCTGCCGTGGATGTTTGATTGTCCGTAATTAGTTGCATCATTTCATCCAGGGCTTTTCTTTTGCACACTGTGCACGATTACACCGGGGTCTCACAGTCGCACGTTTTCTACCTCTTTCGATATTCTGACCAGAATCCACCCCACACCCGGCAAAGCCCTGTAGTGCAGGGCCACGGACTCATCCGTGCGTCATCGTGTAGAAATGTACCGCTTCACTTGCCTTGTCAAACGGGACTTCTTCATTCTGGGCTGAGTTAAAGACATGCCACATGCCCAGAGACAAGAACCTGTCAGGTGATGGTTAAAGTGTGCCGCAAACACATCACCACTCCATCGGCAAGAGCCTGCCACGTGAAAAGATATAAGTTATCAGCGCACCAGCGTTGACAAGCACCAATTAAACTAACCAACATAAACCACAACTTGACAGAAACCCATTATTTGGCTGCCGGTGGAAACATCCACTTTCACGCAGACAGGTTTGTGCCCCTGCACCTGTTGGCTTAACCAGGTATGGGGGGGCTTGTACATAAGATTTTGAGAAGACTCATCAAAGTTGAAAAGACAAAGCAAGGATCACGTGAACCCCCAAGTGTCCCAAGAAAGCCACTATACGGTGCCACTACAACATGATCTCACGTGAACCTCATGCATCTATATAATTGACATTGTCCATGGTACATTGCGAGACAATGCGATCGAATCAAGCAATTTCACTGTTCAACACCGTGCGATCTCACTGCCTGCGCCAAGGCTCCGCTATTTCACTTGCCACCCGTGAACATGCACTACTTCACCGCAAATGCCACTTCACCACCTTAGGGATAAACCACTTCACCACCTACCACCCTACCACCCCACCACCAGCACTATACGTTGCAACGGCTTGAATTTTAGACTCGAATTACTTGGCAACATCCATACTACCAAATGACGTTGGACTCTTGTGCCTCCATCCATCTCTTCATTTTTCCTCTTACTTCCATGTCTTCCGTGTCGTCCGGTCGTTTGGTCAGCCCTCGGCTTTCCGCTAGCTTCCCTTCACCCCCGCTGACGTCAAACATGAGTCGTGCGGCGTTCGCATCCTACAGGAGATCAACGACCGCCCGTCCCAGCAAGTCTTCCTCCTCTCCCCCGAGGAGGCCTACGAGCCTTCGGCAGGAGAGCTTTAGTGACTGGTTAGATGACAAGGTGCAGCCCAAAGTGGTTAGATTTCACAAGATCGGTAGATCTGGTTGTTTTAGCGGTAGTGCTGGGTTGTGGAAGCCTATTTTATGGCGGCGCAGCCAAGTTTGCGGCCAAAGCAGCGCAGGCCTCGTGCCACAACTTAAAGGCCAGCCGCTTCAGCGCTCGAAGAAAAGTCCTTGTAGCTCATTGAATTTTCAAGTGGGAGAGGTTCTAATGAGATTTATCTTGCAAGGAGCTGTCCAGGCACAGCCATATCAAAGACATGGCTCATTGCTATCAGCTTGTCGTGGCATTTGATTCAGAGAAGTCTGGGCCGAGGCACCACCAGAACTGCAGCGAAACGTCGCTCAGATTGTAGCACTGGAGCCGGGAGCGCTGGAAGCTCCTCAGGTGCCTTGATTGAAGGAAGACAAACCCAGCTTCAAGAACATAATAGCACCATACAGGACCCGTAACATGACACCAGCACTTCCTACATCACGCGCACAAAAAACAGCGTTTGGGGTTTGTTTAGGAGCCTGAAATGTGCCTGTGATGCTGCCTTCGTTTGGATAGTGACTGTTTCGGAGTATGAACTCTTGTTGAATGAGAGTGTAGGAAGAAAGCTACTGGGAACTGAGTAGGACATTGGGACGAATGCTTGCCAGAAACCAGTAAGTAGAAAACTGACTTTGATCATGGGCCCCCCGCAAGTCACCACTGGACACCTGAGGATCCACATAAGTTGCATGAGCGTGAGCTGCATCTGCGCATTCTCGCATGATTCCACACCGTGGCTCAAGGCATGAAATTATTGTGCACGGCACTGCTCCCAGTGCGGGTTGTTCTCGCATTAGTAGGCGAAGTTGTTGCTTGCAGAGTTCTCATGCTCTAGACTCTAGCCATGATGTGCTGAAGGAGTTGATCTTGATGATGAAGAGAGCATGCTGCCGAGATCATTCAAGCTGAGCATGAAGCAGCATGAAGCCTGTTTCGCCCGCACCTTCGCTGCCTTCAATGGCTTCAAGGGCTGCAAGGGTGGTAAAGGCCAGAAGGGCGCAGCAATGCAATGTCCGAGGACATCTTTCTGTTTCTGGCAGCAATGCATCCCAAGCTCAAAAAAAGCACTTCCTGCCGACGACGTGTCCAAATTGGCCTGCCTATCCGAAGGGCAAAAGGATAATCTAAAGGAAAGGGGGGTGGTGAGAACCTTGTGAAGACCATGCATGCCAGCACCTCACCAAAACAAAGTCCAGCGAAGCAAGCCCCATCCCCAACAAATCATATTATGCTGCACCACCACATCTGGAAAGGGCAAGGGCAAGAGGCGACCATAGATGATGGAGAACCAGGGGCCTACGTGGCTATGCGCTGACCCAGGTCCCTCCCCCAATATGATTGGATTATGGCATGGCATTTCCTCCGGGTCGAGATGCCCAACCTCCACGGCATGCTCTGTGGTAGAAGCGGAAATTCAGGACGGCGGGGGTGGCTATGCTTTGTGAACCTCTCCAAAAAACATGTCCCTTGACCCATCACACCACAAGCTTTTGCTGATCACCTTGGCGCCTTGTGTTCATGGGCAAGTCCATGGTGGAGCGGCAAGCGGCGCAACAGTCACCTTCCAACTCAGCAGGCCGGTGTCTTCGCCTCCATTTGTCAAGGATTCGGGGCCTGCGTGGCCAGGGTTCTTCCTGACTGAGAGCGAAGGCCAGGTCGTTGACTGACGCATCAAACCAAAGTCGACTGCGCGGGGGCATCTCTCGACGATGTACCTCGCTTACATCCAGGAGGTCTTGTAGACAACCTGGCCGAACTTCAACGCTTCCATTGGGCAGGGCCATTGGAACATTGAGCTTCGTCCGCAACATGCCCAACTTGTGCTGCTTGTTCTGAACATCCTTCATGTCAGGGACCCCGGACCCTTGGCAAAAATCTTCTTGGAAGGCGAACGCCAAGTGCGCTTCAGCCATTGTGATCTGCCCTTCGTGGAGTTCTGGCGCGAGGTGCTGCCCAGGCCGACCCTTCGTTGCCTCAATCTCTTCTTGTGGAAGGTCTCGAAGGATGTCGCTCCTCACGCTTGGTTGAAGCCAATGACAAAGCCAAGGTCAATGGCGCTAGTTAAACTTTGCCGCAAAGGACGCGGTGTAGATCCTGAGTCTGACGGACTGCCGACTTGGGTGAAAGACAAATATGGCACTTGACGGAATTTGACCCCTCTGCCATCAAACCATATCTGGCGCCACGCTGGACAAGGCGTGCGGGACCCCCTCTTCAAGGACAATCCGCGGGAGCAAACTACCACCAGGTGGAATGGATCACCACCAAGGACATGCTGAGTGACCTGACCAACTTCAGATCTACGCTTTTGTCGCGCTTTCACCGCCAAAATGGGGTCCTTGATCATGGTCATGGCCCCGCAAGCCACCGAATAGACACGTGATGAGGATCCACGCAAGTTGGCGTGGGCGGTGTAGACATGAAGACCGTCCACAATGGCGAACTTTAAAGCCAACCCCTGAGCCCTGTAGGATCATGTGTGCCAGACCCAAACCAAAGGCTGTGGGTAAAAGTTTTTTTTTTGCAACTTTTTGCTGGTTGTTGAGATCGCTGTCTACTGCTTGTGTTTGGCTGGGCATTTGTCAGCCGCCCGGCACGGCCCAACGCCGTGAGTTCGATTGGTTTGATGTTTGGTTTGACCTGGTGCCAGTCGACAAGCCTCCGTGAACCTCGGTGAGGCCAGGGTCAAGCCAGGGAGCTTGTACCAGAACGAGTACATGACTCTTTGGAACGACAGCAACGACCCTGTCTCAGCAGTGCTGTATCTTGACTGGGTACAAGAAGGGCTGAATGGGCTGGGGCGGCTTTGGGTAATAACAAGGCTGATAGAAAATCAATACAGGAACCTTTTGAGAACGGACTGATCCAGCGATTCAATTGTCAGTCACACACTGTTTGGTCAGACGGGCAGACAAAGAAAGACAGACAGACAGACAGACAGATAGATAGATAGACATATATATATATAGATAGACAGATAGACAGATAGACAGATAGACAGACAGACAGACAGATAGACAGACAGACAGATAGATAGATAGATAGGTAGCTAGATAGCTAGATAGATGCTTTTTGTCGATCCGCCCCTGTGGAAAGAACCTGGAATCATGAAAATTGAGCGGAGGAAGTGTGCCACCTTTGGGAATAATTTAGCATAAACTGATATAAACTGTGTGGCCGCAGCGCATCCTCAGCTACAGCGGCTACAGGAAAATCCTCTCGCACGATCTTTTTGAACTCACTGTAGACCACTTGGACTCTGTGAACGGGGGCAGCTGCGGCTGCATCATTTTCAGGACTCGTTGGAATTCGGGGAGTTTGCGTTTGGCGTCGGACTACTGGAAGCACATAGAATAGAAATGAATAGTAGCCTCAGGTTTGGCCTCCAATGCCCCAGAATCGGTGGTTTTTCCACAGCACGCATGGCACACCAGTTGTATTTGCATTGGTTTTGCGCTTTGCATTGCAGGAGTGGCTTTACCATGAGTGACGTTCCGAATCAGCCACACAAGAAGCGTCTCTTGGCAAGACTGTGTGCGATCGAGGCTCCTCGTCCTTCTATACACTGTAAGGTTTTGGCACCAGTTGCCAGTTGCCCTAGATATTACAAGGCATCCTTAACTTGAAGGGGCTCCATGTTGTCCTTGGCTTGAAGGGGGCACCAGCAGAAGAATTGGAAGTTCATCATGGGCCTGGGCAGCCAAGCAGGGACTCCACACACTCCGAGTCATCAGTGTGGAAGCGAAGGATATTGTGTTGGTAGCGGAGACTTGCTAATCCAGGGCCTTTTCTCGACTTCGATGTATGCCATGCCGGGAATAAACAGACACACACACACATATGTATATGTAGATGTAGATGTATATTTTATGTATGTATATGTACATATATATATATATGTATTTGTGCATATGAGTATATGTACATGTGCATCAATATATGTATATGCACTTGTTTATGATTTATATACATGACATGGACCGCTATGGACGATGGGCCCCGGACGCAGGTTTGCAGTTGAAGATCCGGAAGGATGTGGAACCGCTGGAGTATGACGACCAGCTCTTTGAGCACCCTAGTTGAAACCTAGTTGAAGGATCGCAGAAATGGTATCTTAAGAAGAAAGTTCATTTCCAGCGCTATGAGAGAAATTGCTGAAAGGAGCAAGTAATGCCAGAGGAAGGTCCTGGTTTGTTGGAACCCCCCTTGAAATTGGAACCCAGGCGACCAGCCAGAATGGCGTAACTTGCTTTGCAGATCAGACGCGATCAATCACAGCAACAATTTAGGATATCATGCCCAATGTCTTTCGAGAGCGTTTTGTTTGTTTGTTTGTTTGTTTGTTTCGTCATGTGTACTCCTTGACGGTAATGCAGCTGTTCACCTGACAAGAAGGCTGGCGTGTTCGCGGTGATGCACATTAGGCTGGGATTTCTGAAGCGTGCTTCCTGGATGCTAGCGGGCGCGTTTGAGATGGAGTATGATGTGGAGAAGAACTCTGTGACGCGACATGCGATTACCTTTTCTTATCCTTTCTTGTTGGAACGGAAGAGGGCTCCTTCTTCGAGACAGTGGTCTCTTTGTTTCTGAGTGAAGTGTAAAGGGTGTGGTGTTCTTGGAGAGGGCAACATAGAGATTTGGAGGCCGTAGGATCTTCGAGGCCTGTCGGCAAACGAGGTGACTGCTGGCCCGAAAACAGCAGTACTAAAGCCATTCTGGCAGAAAGTGGTGGAGTTGCATCCCACACCACAGGATAAACTTTGGATCCTTGCCTGCACTAAGTGCAGACTTGCGCGTCGTTCGTGCTGTGTGCAGCACCCAAGCTTTGGTTGCTTCGCGTTGATGTCAACCAGACCACTTGAATTGTTTGGGCCCAAGGTTCAGTTGCTATGATCCAGCCGGATGTATATATAATTAACATGGTTTGAGTTCAGGACGTGGGAGCCAATGCAGAAAGTCCAAATGGAACACGCCTATGCAGCCCCCGCGCTGGTGACAGCCTAGTTTTGCACTTAGCTTCGCCAAGAACTTCCAAGTCGCGTCGGCGGAATGGTTGAGGGGGCCACTTGGGTTGTCTTAGGCTGCGCCTCGGGGATTAGTTGGACCTTGACAACCAGCTTTCAAGGTGTGCCAAAGGCCAACTGTGAGCAGTAGCTAGTGAACCTACTATTTTTGTACAGATGAGATGTTCTAATTTTGACGTTTCCTTTGAGACTTGTCCTCTCAAAGATGCTTTTGCTTGAGTTGCTGCAGCCAGCCTTGCCCTCGGTGAGGTTGAGGTTGAACTTAAAGATT